TTCTAACATTATAAAGTAACGATATTATAGCTATAATAAATTCAATCAATCTATCATATCTCAAAAATGTAAGTATAAAAAAGAAAAAAGAAACTCCTTATTATGTATAACTCAATTGTAGACACAATTATTTTAATAAATTTACAAAACTCTTTTTTAATTACAATTTCTTTTATATAAAAATGTTTTTATTTTAAAATTAATTTTTCTATTTTTTAATGAACTTTTCCAGTTTAAAAAATTAACAAAATTAATTTTTTCTAAAACGCGCTAAAATACATCGGTCTTCAAGTTTCCAAACATATTAATTTAATTTTTTATATTGTGCGAAAGTTTATTCTGTATTTATTTTGTCAATTAATAAATATACAAGATGTTTGGAAAATAATAATAAATCTTTCACATAAAGGCAAAATGCACTAAACTGAAAAGAAAAGTCCTCTACCATTTTACAATTTTCGCAATAGTTAACAAGATATTAATTGCTAAAAATTGTCGAAAATTGGTTTTCAATAATTTTTTAAATAATTTTTAATTTCTCAAATATATTTTACAAATACTATCGATTTTACAGAAAAATTGCAAAAGACGAAAATTGTTTAATTTCTTCTCGTAGATCTTTACGAATTTTTTCAGAATTTTTTATCAACTATTTAGTACTGCATTTTCTCATTTTTACTAACATAAGAAAATGCGGTATTAAAAAATTCTGAAAAAAATTCCAAAAAAATTCTCAGAGTTCTCTAAGAAGAAAATAAACATTTTTTTGCCTCTTGTAGTTTTTTTGTAAAGTTGATACTATTTGAATAAAAAATTATTAAAGATTAATTTTCAGCAATTTTTAGCAATTAATATCTTGTTAACTATTGCGAAAATTGCAAAATGGTAGAAGACTTTTCTTCTCAGTTTAGTCCATTCTACCCCTGTGCAAAAAATTTATCATTATTTTCCAAACACCCTGTATAAATAATTTGCTCATCACTGATTACATGTTAAATTGTGTTATATTAATACATATTAATATTTTTTATTAGCACACAAATATCGAGAATTATTACACGATAACAAAGCACTGAATGGCACTAAACCCAGAACCGCAACTTCCTGAAACGAGAAGTTAGATGAGACTAGCTACTTCGCAATTATGATTTTAATTATGGACGGGAGTTACCGAGGGACTTACCGAAGCCGTTGTTATCCGCGCGTCGCACTTTTGATTTACGAAATTAAGTGAAAATATTTATGAGCAATTTACACGCGGCCAATATTACGCACTGCATGTTTCACGTGGTAACACGCGCGTCATCGTCTCACACTATTTCGTCGACCACGGACTTTGTCGCAAATTAAATGCGGTTGCTGTCGGGCTTATCCTCGGCGGGAAATTTCCTCTGAATTATTGACGAACTGCCGCTTTTGACTCCTGATGAAAAGAGCGTTAGCCCCTTTATTCCCCATGTAACAGTAGAGTGTAATGAATCTCGCAATAACTAACTCACGTTCAACAAAAGAATCATTTCTTATAGCAGTCTCGTCGGCCTCATTAATTTTCCATTAGTACAACAAATTAGTTGAAAAAACGCCAAAAAGTAATTTTAATTTTATTTAAGAAAAACAATACTTTTAATACTTTTATATAGTCTCTCTCTTATATTACGACGCGTCCATATTCATTATTGCACGTCCATATTCATATTTTTTTTAAACTATTGTCTTTAAACTATTATAAATTTATAGATAGGTAGATGCTCATGAAATAAAAAATAATAAAAAGAAATAAAAGAGACAGACTAGATTAAGTTATAATATATTTGTGAACGATTTTAGTGAAAAATAACGGTTATGATCAAACATGGCTGACCTCACTTCGCTTCTACTACTAGCGTTGTGCTATAAAGGTGTACCGCATACTCGCATTAGAATAAACTATCCATCTACGCTATGATGCACATCAAACGTGCAATAAATGTAGAATATGTGGTACTATGGCCCTATCATATCCTTTTAACCCTCGGGGACGAGTCGCGAGCATCATACGTGTGTTTCGACAAAAGAGTGTGTTTGTGCTGTCACACACAATTTTGAAAAATGCCAAGGTACATACAAATCTTAAAAATCGAAGAAAGAAAGAGAAAGAAAGAGAAAATGTTTACAATATAATATAATGCTTAACTTACTAAATGTTAACGTTAAGTTTTATATTGATATAAAACTTAACTTACTGTATAACTTCTACATAGCATAGGGATGAAATTTGTAATAATTGGCAGCAAAACTTAGTTTAATAGTCATTTTAATTATAAGCTCGTATGTACATGTTTGCACTTTTTACAACATTTTCAGCTCATTTAACTTTTATTTCGCACTTTCGTATGCAAAAAATGCACTTGCAACTGAATCATAAAACGATAAAAAAGTTGTTTAATAAAGAATCCTTTTTCTTATATTATTTATTTAATATAGCTTCGGTGATAATACAGATAGGCAGAGTTGCCTGAGATTTTTAGCGAGACTTATTAAAATCAAAATGAAAAAATTGATATAAACGGGAGAATTTAAAAAAGGAAAAGATAAAATTTCACGAAGCGACGTTGTAAACTAAAAGACAATTGTTATAAAAATCATGAACGTTTATGACAAATTCGTTGCTTTCGAGAAATTCCTGAATTGGAGAAACTCTGCTACCACTTTCGACGTTTTGTCGTTTCTCAAACATGTATACCATAACTGGTCAACGCGGCCAACAAAATTGCAAATAGTTATTACGACTTGGATTCCACACGCCGTATGCTTAGCATGTCGAAGCAAATAGCAATAGCCCGTACGAAATTCCAAATGTTTGGTGAGCTGGCATTAGCGTTTCTCAGAGTCCCGAGAAACCACGAGTACTTTCCGAGGATTTCAGATATTAATGCACTGGATATTCATAGAAGCTCTGTCTTTATTCGGTCAAATCCAATATCCGGACTGTATGTATATTTAAAAGATATCGTCAGTCGCATTTCTATACACTCTACGTATATTCAATTTTTTTGACATAATATCGATGAAATGATATAATAAATTACAAATTAATGTAATATAATTTTATCTGCCTTTAAAATCAAATAAAATTATTAAAATTTATTAAATACTATAAAGACAAATTAAAATGAAATTTATAATTACACAATACAATGATGATAATATTTAATTAAGAAAAATTTAAAAGCTTTGTTATTAATTCTTGTTCGAGTCGTCAAACGGAATGAGAGCGGATGTCTTACGTTTTCCTATGTCGATTTCAAGATTGGGTGATCAAAATCTAATCAACGCGAGAAACGTGCCGAGAGGTATCCATATGTATCATCTGTCTTAAACTATTTTGCATACGCTTCGTCTACAAGAGAGAAAAGCTAGAAGAGGGAGAATCGGAATATCTTTCGTCCGGAAGACGGAGGATATTCTAAAAGAGAAAATGAAAAGTGGCGGACGTAAGAATGTGTGCAGGGTTGAGGAAATAAAATGTGCCTTTGATGTCGTTCAGCTTGGTCGAACCTTTTTGCATTTCTTTGATATTTCAAAGTTCTATAAGTTTTCGCAGTAGATAGAACAGAAGAAGGCAAACTTCGGTTTCATCATCTAAAAAGGCTCGTTATTAAAGAGTATATAATATTATTTGACTATACGTAAGTACATATATTTCAGTAACTTTACATGTTTAAATAATACGTATATTAAAAATTTGAGCTGAATATTTTATATATATATATATTTATTGAGGTGAATATTTAATATATAAGTATAAAAAATTAAAATTAATCTTTATAGACATTTGAAAATGTTCATACAATTTCCGATAATTAAAGAATAATTTAATGAGAATTAAATTTATCAAAATTATATCACATAATTTATTATCAATTATTCATTATCAATTTAAGTAGATTAATTATAGAATGTAAGAATATGGAACTGCTATTTAATACAATATTTCCTACTGATCTTTACTAATATATACTAACAATAAGTAATAAAAAATATTTAACATACAATATATTATACAATATATTTTCAAAAATATTCCAACTATCAGCGTTTCAAATGTAAAAATGATTAAATTTTTAACTTCAAAATTCTTCGATTAAATTGAGAATTGAATTGGAAACACTATCAAGTCTTATTGAAAGTATTTCATTGTTGTCTAGTGAACTAATTAAAAAGAAAATCGAGGAATTTTGTTCGTTTGGTGAGCCATTGCACGAACGCAAATAACGTTCAGCGTAATCTGTCTTCGTACGTGCCATTTGCCTTTGACGTTTACCACCGCGAAGGGCGTCGTGCTATTGATGATAGCGGCGGCGTTGTCAGGGTTGATAGCGGGGTTGATAACGCTACGCTCGTGGACACACAGTTTCGCGGGCGAGAAATAATGAAATTTGCCGTTGACGAGGCGAATAGTGATTAATGAGCCGCACACAGGTGCAAATGTCGTGTCGCTCGACTGAGGCTGCGCACATGTACATGTACGCTGTGCTGGAAAAGTTCGACGACCGAATGACTAACAAGAACGGGGAGAAAAAGATTGATCGAAATACAATTCGGAGGAGATAAAAAACTCATGTACAAACTTCGTTTGCGGTTTCTTTGACCGATTCGAAGTCGATTTTCCTTTAGCAAAACATTGGAACTTATTCTCTGATATTTTTTTTCATTTTCAACATTATCTTTTGGGAATTAAGTATTACGTTAAAAGTTAATAACGAATAAATAATCAAGACAAACGAATAAATTTACAAAAGGCCAATTATATTATATCAATTGCTCGTAATATAATGCATGAAGAAAGATGTCTTACAGTTCTAAAGATACTTTCAGTTTATTTTTTAATATTCACTATACTCTCCAAGTTTTAGAATGTAATTTTTCATGTTTAAATAATTTTGCGCCTTGTATATTAATAAAACAGAATTTACTAGTAAGAACACTTGGAATATAAACGACTTCATTTCATGTTTCAGCTCATATATGGAGACAATGAAGTGGCTTTGGATAATTGTCTTGGTGGCTTTGGCGCTGCCAGCTGCTGTACCTCGAAAAATCCATAGAAGCAAGCCGAGTAAGTAAATTGTTTTATAGTTTTATATAAATAGTTTTCATACATAGAAAAATTAGTTTATATTTGTGTTGAAATCGATCTTTGTTAAAATTTTGGTGTTGAATTTTTAACGTATTCGTATTTTTAACGTAGTGTTAATTTAACATAATGTAACTGTGTTATTTGAATATTTTATGTTAAACTGATATTAAATATTTTTTAGCGTTAAAATAACATAATTTATGAGCAGTGAAAAAATAATGTAAAAATAATATAGTTTTAAAACATAGAATTCTAAAATAAAAAAAAAATAAAACAAACGCGTTAATTTAACTTAATTTTATTAAAATGTTTCCACAATTTGCTTCTAAACTTTGTCAGTAATATATTTTTCGTATTAACTTTTTACATCGTATTATTGTCTAACATTTTCATTTTGTATTAAATTAATACAGAAATATGAACTATTTGGAGCACATAAAATGTATTAAATTTAACATAAATGTACAACTGTGTGAGCAGTTATAAGGAAAATATTCCTCAAATAAAAATCACATTTATGTGAAGAGAATGATTTATGTTATCTCTTTCAATGAATTACTGTTTCATTAATTCCAATTGTCGCGATTTGTTAACTATGTTTGCATTCTGAATTCTCCATGAGAAACGGATCTTTGTAAGGTAAGCTTTTGTGTACATCGAAGAACGTATCACGTAACTGTCTGGAAAAATATTCGATCATAACGTTCCGTTTTCACCTATCACGGACATTCCTATATAATAGTCCCTGAAAGGATCGGAGAGCTACTTGATGTATCGCGAGTAGGCAGAAAATCGATTTTGATCGAGACAAGGCTACGAAGAATCACTTCATATCGTGATTGAAGAAAACTATCATTGCTTGTTTCACCGAGTAACGACGGTAAGCCGATCTCGAAAGATATCTGTGATTACTCAAAAATATTGCTCTGGACACACAATCCTGCTATCTAAAATTGTTTTACGATAAATTCTCGATACTTCTATCTGGATAATAAAAAACGAAGAAAATATTCAATTTTTATCAAACGGCGGAATATACGGAAACAATAAGACATTTAGATATCATCAAAACAACAATTCAAAAAGATATCGTATTACATGTTAGCAGGAATAGCATCGAAACCTTTTCGTTTTTCAGCTGGATAAAGCTGGAGTAATTTTCGAAATGATTGGAAACCTTACGACAAGTCGTGAACAAATGGGAAGTTAAAAAGCACATCATGAAAACACGAATTTCCGCATCCTATATAGTTACACGGAATCCTCTTTTTTTTCTTTCTTATTCTCATATTTTTTTATGTCTTGATCGACATATTTTGCTGGAAAGCAAAATATGCTATTATCTTCACTCTCGCGGCAAGATCTGATCAAGATTTTCTCTTTGCTGCTCCTGCAAAGAGGAAATGAGTAGTCACAGCTGTATTGGACTCGGGCCTTCATCGGTGGCAGATGTCGGTTATTGAAAGGAGATATTTTCTTTTTGTTTTCAGCACCACGATTGTACGGCGACAGAGTCCCCATCAATTTAATAAGGACCACTAGCAGCAAGGTACGGCAAAAGATCGTGGACACCCACAATTACTTTCGCACGCAGGTCAAGCCATCTGCCGCCAACATGCTCGTCATGGTAAGAATTCTATTTCTATATATTTCCATTTAATAAGTAAAGAAAAATCGATTCCCGTCAATTCCCGTTCGTATTTGTCGAAAGCGCATTTTGATACTAGTCAATTTAATATATTGAAAGACAGTAATTAATTACTTATTTTAAGTATTAAAAGCACTGTTGTTAAGTGCTTTTAATACTTAAAATAAGTAATTAATTATAGTTTTTCGATAATAAAAATTATATTAAATTTATGAAGCATTAGAATTATATGCAATGGAAATGGATTATTTACATATCACGTTTATGAGCTTTCAGAATATTTAATCATGCAATAATAACTAGCTTGTAGGTTATATCGTGCTTTTTTTTAATCATACGAATGTTAAAATCCCGAGTATATTTTACATGTATAAATATATGTACGTAAAGCGGGAAAAAAGCTGTTTGTCAGAAATAGATCTATAATGATGTCGCTTGATAGTGAATCGCTACAGAACAGCGATAAACGGTTTAAAAAGGGAACTTATACTGAAGCATCTTCTGTAGTGTTAGAAGTACAAACGCAAAGTATTTCAGCGAGACAAGAAATCGATATATTCTATTTCCGTTGATCGACGCCTGTCCACGTGACTCGGAGCTTCAAAGTAAAATTGGTTTCGCCGGGCGGAAGTAGATGTTACGCGCTTCATCGGAACGTTTACGAGAACTTTCGCCGATCGCGATAACCACCTTTCTGTAAATTTCATCGGCAGTTCATCGCGATATTTCAGAAACGTTCGCTTTTTGTCTGTCATCGTTTTCGCGCTACAGCGATGCGATCAATAGTCAATATTGAGAACTTTGATACACTTGTTATCGTATTTTATCTACTTGCGATAACATACATATTTTTATTATTTCACGAATGAAACATAGGAACATGAGAATTTTATCAAGGTACAATATAAGATGATTTCGCGATTTCTATAGTGATAATTGTGTTAAATTTTGGATACACACGAAAAGGACGGTTTTTGCTGAAATATCTAAAAATGTTCTACATATAGATTTGAAAATAATTTTATTGATATCTATCAAAATAATTACGTAGGATGTTCAAACTGATTACTAAAATGTCAAACTTTTTGCAACATTAATGCTTAAGTTAAGCGTTCTATATATTATAATTATTTTAATGGTCCAAAAAACAAAATTATTTTCAGATTTGTATCAACCTAAATTTTGAGATACTTTAATAAAATTATTTTTTCCATGTACATTTCACTATTGATTTGAAATGAATAAAAAAAGAGAATAAAAAAAGATATATAATGCGAACACTATTTTTCACAGATATGTCTATTAAATTTATCTAAAAGGTTCGTTGTATCACTCAAAAAAAGAGTTAAAAGTTTCAGCAAAATCGAAACCATGGACTTCAATGTACTTTGTGTTTTATTTAAAAAGAAATATTTTACTCCTCTTTTCAAAGTAGTCCAGTTTTAACTTTGTTTAATACAGAGCTTGATAAAAAAAAGACAAACCTTTTATATCAACTTAAATGTACTTTGAGTGATAAAGAGACAGAATCATCTTTATCTCTTCTACATTTTGAATACAAAGCATAAATAGTATTTAATACACATAGAAAATTAAATATTTAATACTACTGATAATATTAAATATTAAATATTGTTATGAATCCATTTTAAATAAAGGAATTCTGACGCGAATATATGTATATGTTAAATATAATTTTATTATTATTAAATTATTATTAAATTTGAAGTTTCAAAAATCTAGATTTTTTTGATATCACAGCTTCACTTGAATCTAGGATTTCTTCGCGCAGAATTTGTGAATAATGCGAGCGAGCGGTTTCGCAGTCTGTTCGAATAATAGTAGGGAGGCTTGCTTTGAAATTCTATCGATTTTCCCAGATTTTCATCTTTCGACAATACGTTGTCACTTTTCAAAATGGAATCTTTCCAAACTCTTCAGTGCGCGTATCTCTTTCCTTATAGAAATAGAAATAACTTTTCGACTGCTCTATAATCTTGATAACAAAATATATCGGATGATTTCGTTTGAATTGTATATTAAGTATGATATATTTTAATACATTAAATATTTTATGTAATATATTTTTAAATAATATAATAATAAATTTTGTTGTTAAATATTAAACATAAAATAACACGGACTTTCTCTTTGTACACACACATACACACATACATGAACAATATAAAATAATAAATATAAAAAGTAAGTATTGTTATATATTTATACTTAACACATAAAAGCTGTTAAACTATTATTGAAATTTGGATTAGAAATGCATTATTGTATCATATATGTATGCATATTATTATTATTATTATTATTATTATTATTATTAAAAAAAAATTAGAATATTATTTGGAGGGAAAATATGTATCAACACAAATATTTAAATATTCTAATTTAATTTTAAAAAATACTGACAGTTTAAATTTATTTCTATGGGATCTAACCATTTTAAACTATATGATAATCATTTAGAGATCTTTACAGAGTGTTTCTGCATATAGTGTATAAACTGCTACAGCGGCTTCAACATATGAAAACAAGTCGAAAATGTCTAATAAACATTTGTCTGATTTCGGAACGGTTTCGGAGTAACGAGATATTGAAGTATAAGGAAACATGAATCATAGTAAATAATGTTTAATGTTCGTTATTCTGTTGATCTGAATCTTGAATCTTTTTTTTTGATAGATTAGATTTTTCATTCATCCCCAAAATGTAAACAAATGCACGATAAGGATGATTTCCTGTGCGAACATTTCTCTGTGATCACTATCATTGAATTAGAAGAGGCCAGGACACTCCCATTAAATGGCAAGCGAAAAGTCCCGACGCCACTGGATTTTTTTCTTTGGAGACGAATGAAAGATCTAGTCTATCAGAATGAGTTTCAGAATGCAAAATAATTATGATAACTGATACTTAACGCTGCTGATACTTAACCGATATTATCCGCGAAACTCCAAATATTTGTCATCAAATTCGAAACAATTTATTAATTCGTGCAAGAAAGTTTGCTGAAATCGACGAAGGAATTTTTGAACATCTTTTGTAAAGTATTATAGAATAACGAACATTAAATAACATTTACTACAATTCATATTTTTTTACTTCAATATCCCGCAATTCCGAAACCATTCGGAACATACGTTTATTAGACATTTTCACTTATTTTCATGTGCTAAAACTACTGTAGCAGTTTATGCAGAGATGCCTTGTATACGTCAAATGACATCATATTATAAAATTAATTAGAAAATACACACACAAATTTAGCCAGTTTATTCTTTGTAAAATTTGCATGGATAATATTCGGAGAAATAATTACCGGTCACGAATGAGAAGGCACTCTTCTGGAAATGCAACAAAAGCAACATAATAAATACAGCAATAACATAATTCAACTTCCTCGTGCACAATGCGCATTTAATTTGAGTTTTTGGCAACTTCGCAGCAGATAACGCGCGCCGTTAATTGGACTGATTAAAATTAAGCGGCAAAAGCTCTTGTTATCTGCTCGTTTTACGATTTTCCGTATTTCTCTGGAAATTTATCAGAATGTAAATCGTATAGCAATTATTGTTTGTAACACGTGTCTTTCTTCTATTTGGATAATAAAGCATGATAATAAGATGCACGATATTTTAGAAATAATGGATAATTAAACAACGGTGATAGATTATATAACAGTAAACAATTCTAACTGAGAACAAAGCATAAAATTATAATAACAATATTATTGTGAAAAGACTAACAAAAATACAATGATTGTGGCATTAACTATTTATTTTATATTTTATTATATAATATATATATATTGTAATTATTTTATATACTCTGCAAAAGTTTGAAAATATTTAAAAAATTAATACCTATTTTTTTGAGATTTTATTTATTCAAATATTTATAACAGTACATTCATTTAACAATAATTCTTCAGATTCAATAACAGTTATTGGAGAGAGAGAAAAGAATTATTATTAAAAAAAAAATACATTATTATGGATATTTGAGCAAGTAATCATAAATGTCAATTTTTTTAATGTGTTCCCAAACTTTTGGTCAGAAGTATATACATACATATATATAAAATGATAAAATGATGTTATTTAAATATGAGACTGTAAATTCATTCGTACAGATATATATAATTCTATTACTCTCAATGAACGCTCGATATTAAGATGTTAAACGCACTGTGCATACAAAATAGCGGGTTTTATCAGAGATTTACCTTACGAAGCGGTTTACTTGATCAGAAAACTGAATTTTCGAGGTTCGCCGTCGAGTACGGTGCAAGATTTCAATTTCCGCTTGCATCGACGTTATTATCCGATCTATATATAAACATGTATGTGTGCTATATATCACTCACTTCCCGTTGTTTCTCACGGCGATATAGAGAGGAGATATGTATTCCAGAAGGAAAGGCGATATTCGCTGCGGTTGGTAGTTAAACCCAAACAAATCAAAATGTAGATTAACTCAATCGCTTTTCTTGTAGGAAAAAAAACACACAAAACAGACAAGAATAAAACCGTAAAGAATGTGCAAAAAAAATCGGAATGAAATGACACGATTGTTATTTTCTGATTTTCAGCAACTTGTGCTAGTAAAACGACGATATACATATAATTATATTTAATTATAATTATATCTAATATTAATAAATTTTGTGATTAATTTCGTTTTGTTATACAATTGCACAAAGTTTATGAGTACTTGAACTTAGTTTCCACAACTGATAACATATCTTTTTGGAAAATCCGGTATATTTATGGACGCGGCCAGGTGTCTACGTGGTCAGACCATCTCGAGTCTTCTTGTAGCATTTACTCGTCGTTTCCTCAGCGCTGCCAATCTCAAGCTTGGTTATAAGTTACACGACTTCCCACTTAAATTCTTTTCCCACGGAAACTACCAGGAACGTCACCGTAAAAGCTACTTTTGGCGGAAGTTACGCCGTAGATACGACTGTTATCTGAGGTTTCTCGGCAAAACTCCAGACGCGATGCAGTTTCTTGAAGAGAGAATAACTGGTATCGAGAATCTTATATCGATCTAGTAAGGTCGAAGTTAGGTAATGTCGCGGAAAGAGTTAACGAGATATTATGTTTCTTATTCAGCTTATGAATCATTATAAATTATCAATCATACTACTATTATAATTTAAAAAAAATCATGATTGATTGATTTTTTAGATATTTGTGATTTTATTTTATATATGTGAATTTTTCTTATAGAGACTCATCAGAATTATCATTTATCTTTTTTCCATGTCTATGAATAAATAATTTTTCATTCTAAGTTTTCTTATTCAAAAAAGTAACATTACGTTTTATTGTACATATTTATAAAAGAAGGAGTAGGAGGAAAAAAAGGTGATAACTATACATAAATGTTGATCTATGAAATATATATATATATATATATATATATATATAATGTTAATGTATCTTCTAAATATATCTTTTACGAGGTAAGAAATAATTAAAAATGTAATTTCAAAGCATATTGTGTTACAGAATATTGCACCTGGTACTTAGAATTCAGAACTAACTTTATATAAGCAAGAAAGCAGTCGCCTCAAGATGCATAAATCAAGGAGCGTTTCTGATTAAGGAAACCTACTCCTGGACTTAGATTCTGACTTTCTTAAGCTTAATGTAGGCACGTAGAATGCAATATCGAAGCATCACAGGGAACTTTTGACCGTTTTTTTTACGTCGAGTTATGTAGTTGCAGTTATTGCGATTATAAATGCGATTCATTACGGAGAATTAAGGCGCGTTATAATTTGGTATTGAACACAGAAAATGTGGAGGAATAAACGGAAATGTAAATATGAGCAATAGTAAAAAAAAAAAGAAGCGTAGCATCTTCCTCTGAGAAACTTCTAAGAACGAGGAATTTACCTCTATAGAGCGTACATTATGGCTTTGAAAGCACGATATTTGCATATAACGAGCAATTAAGAAGCCAAAGGAAAGTCAAGAAACTTTTGCCACGGGTTTACGTATGCACGCAGAAGCGAGAAAACTTTTTGCACTCGTAAATGTAGTCGTATTATACGCATTTAATTAAATTTTAATCGTTTTCTAAAATAAATATAATGTATAGAACTTTTCAATTACAAATCCCTCGATCAATTTGCAGTCATCTTTTTTTAATAAAAAAATATAAAAAAATAGATTATGCGCATTTTCTAAGCACTTTTTGTTAACGTTCAGCTTATTTATTTGGAACTATTTATTCAAAATAAGAGAATTATTAATTTTATTATCTCCTAATTGTTATTTATTTTCTTGAAGTTCAATTTATAAAAGGAACTTTCAAAAAGAAATTTTCGATGTGATTTCAAAACTATTAACGGTTTAACGTTAGAAATATTTTTTCATATTTAGGTTAACTCCGCAAATACGCCGCGCTGGGATTTACGTCGCAGGAGTCAGAAAAAATAGAAGGAGTGGGAGTAATTTTCCCACAACTACTTTGTTGCCTTTATGTTATATTAGTATTGTGTTACGATTTATTTCATTTTCTTGTGTTAATATTAATAAAATTATTGTGAGTTGAATCGATTTGTTACTGTGTTAAATAGCGCCGTCATAAATTATAACTCTACATAAAATGATTACTGTAGGACTGTGCAAAAGACTTAGTGGTTATTTCGTGAAACATGAGTGTAGAGAAATAGTAAAGCATGTACAAAATACAAGTACTTTGCTATTCTTTATTTAGTTTGTTGTCTTGTATATCCCACCTGTTTGGGATATATGGTATTTTTAACGAGCGGGATTTATGCTAAAGCATACGAAGTGCGCAGATTGAATTCAGTGCACTAAATGCAATAAACGCATTACATGGAATATATATCTCATGTCATAACACTTGTAATACATGTGGGAAAATTGTAATTATTATTTATTACTCCATATCATTTTTTCTTATTCCTTAATAAAACTTTATAACCGTATTTTATGTTATTGTGTCATTTTACGTCTAATTTATATGCATTATTTGTAAATTTTTTATATATATACAACCTTCCTTCCCCCTATAAGTAGCCATATATTCCATTCCTATATAGGATATACGGAAAAAATGCAATGGTTTAAAAAAATTCATTTTTTAATACGAAATATAAATATTTCGGATTTTTAATATTTTTTTCATAACAGTAGACAGTACAAAGTTTTTACTAATATAGTTCGTTTACTTTAAACATAGTAAATAATACTTAATAAATTAATAATTTTTGATAAGTGCGACGTACATACCGGAGTTACCCTATATATTATATTTTTCTAAAATTAGAAATACTTTTTCATTTCAATTTCTAATATCTGTAGTTTGCAATTTCCGAGACAATTTGTCTACAATAAAGCCAGGCACGTCTGATAATTCTGGATGTCTTTCTTTGTTTTAGAAATGGCATTCGGGCTTAGCAAAGGCAGCACAGAGGTGGGCCGATCGTTGTCTCGGTTTGGTGCATGACAATGCGACCGGTCTGTACCTGGACGGCTTTGGACAGAGTGGACAAAACATATTCATCAGCACGGGTCGTACGCTCTGGTGAGATATTATTAAATCTTGTTTACTTCTAGTTAGCGAGTTCGCGTTGCAGTTGGTATATTTGTACAGATGTACTCTGTGCACGCGCGCTAGACTTCCGTGAAAATGCAGTGGTCCATCTGCCATGGATGCGCACCGTTAATTACCTTGCCACTTCATTATTTACATATCAAAAGATAACTTCTTGAAAAGATACCATCCGGAATGATTAATTTTGCCGTTGGATATGCGACAAGATACCTCAAATTTTTACAATTTTATTACGAAACTTCGATATGCAATCAAGATAATTTCAAAGTTGATCACGTTCCGAGCTATTGGAAAATTTAGCTTCGCGCTGTGTTGAAAGAGCATATTGTAATTAATTCTTCAGTCAACAAAGTTAGAATTAGATTACGCAGGCAAACAGTCCACGATGGACTACAGCGTAGATTTCGGCATGTATACCAGGGGCTTTACAAACATACACCGGATGTGAATGATTTACGTTACACGCGGACAAATCGCCATTGCCACAAATCGAGAATCCCTCCCACCGTTCCAACATTCGTCGGAATGTTGTAGGAACTTCCCCATCAGAATGTGGTACATGGAGTACAAGGACTTCAAGTACGGACCCAATACGACGAATGAGATCCTCGAGATCGGCCATTACACGCAGGTGGTGTGGGCGACGACACATCTGGTCGGATGCGGGGTGAGCCATTGCACCGGTGGCAAGGGTCCGCTCGGCAAGGATTTCTATATGTATGTTTGCAACTATGCTCCGAGGTACGTATAATGTTGAACAATTGAAGAACCGTCTGAATAGCGAGTTCAGTTAAGCGGATTCAGTTTCATCATCTTACATCTCATATATAATAGAGAACTTCCGGATGCTTATATTGAATGTGTTCTTCAATTGTAAAAGGAAACACATTTTCGGATATGTTCTTTTTTCTCTTCATCTTGACAGAGGTTTTATAATTCATTTTTCATATGAGTTATATATTATTTCTCATCACACATGCATAATCCCTTGCATATAAATTTCATAAAAATATTTGCAATATGATTCTCGTATTAGGATTTGTTTACATGTCGAAACGCAACAAGTTTTTATTTTTTTCCAAATTATGTAGAACAATAAAATACATGTGTAACATGTTACACACAAATACAGATTACATTGATACGGTAGTAACGCGGTGTAATTATTTTCACCAGGGTTGCACGCCGTTTGCCGTGACTGTTATGATACATGGTTGTTTCTGCAACAGCAATTGCAATTGGGCCATGGCTAGAACTTAGTTCATTAGCATGGAATTGACGCAATAATTTGCTGGAGGGAAATGTGGATTGAAACGGTTAACCGTAAACTTGGCGAAAGTAGCGTCGTGCGCGGCATCGTCAAAGCAGATCTTAGTTAAATCGACATTTGCTGAATAGGAGAAGGTCAAAGCAGATTGAATCATTAACATAAGAAAATAAAGAAAGGTGTATAAAGAAAAGATAGAGATTAATAAAAAGAGAAAAGAACCTTATTACATTTCGCAAACAGTTCGCTTTTTACATAATAATAATAGTCATATTTAAATAAAAACTTTAAATAAAATCTTGTAATAAATAAATCTATTGAAAATTTTTTTCTAAAAAAAAATTACACCAATAAAAATTTGCAGACTGATAAAATAGAAGAAAAAAAAACGAATGAAAAATATATTATTAAAAAAAATATATTAGGAATCAATACGTAACAATAGAATTTGTAAAACATGTTTATGAAACAGAAGATATTTGTTACTTTAATATTGGAATATTTTTTTAGATTTTTTTTTTCTGGAGTCAAGTATTAGTTACTGCATAAGCAGCTAAAGAAGAATGTTGCTTGAGAAAATGTGCCGTCAGTGTTTCTTGAATGAAAAACGATATTGTAGGATGTAGTAACATTAGAGTACTTTAAAAATTATAACTATTCACGGTGCAACATCTTAGAGAATTCAATAACTCGGAGCCACATATTTTTCAAATAATTATCGAAGATATTTTCAGCCACTACATATATGGACATATATGGACTTGATTATAGCTTAACCTTTTTCATAAAAAAACAACCAATGTTGCATTCAAGCTCATGTCACGTAAGCTTTCCCTAGACATGCTGAAATATGTAAATCCTATATTTATACACAGTATGTAAGTGACATAACCCGCTTGGAGGAGAACAGGAGGAACGAGGTAAGCAAGGAAAACAAGGAAAATGGTGACACTGGTGTGGAATATATGCAACGTCAGCGCGAGTTATAGCTCGTTCGTCTTTGTCATGCCCATTGTGGCACTTAGACGGCTCTCTTTGTCACCAGTATGGCACACTTTCTCAGTATACTTATGGTTTCGTTGTCGCTACTATACTGGATGAAATATATAATATATATGTGTATGTGTGTATATATATATGTGTATATATATATATATCTATAATATATATATATGTATATATTATAAATATATGCAGGATGCTCAATGCAAAACATACACATATGACGTACGATGAATAAGAATTTTCTTGAAGCTTGAGTGAGAGAGAGATACGAGTTAGTTGAAAGGAAAAGTACTAATACATATTTTAATTAAGAAAAACTGTTTGTGACATCGAATAATATTAAATTGAAAAATATTAGTAAATATTTGTAAAAACATTGATACTTTAAACGTAAAATTAATTTAAAATAAAGATGGATATTATATATTCTTCTAAGAATACAAAAACGATTATATTAAAATAAAATTGAAAATATTGCACTTTTTTATTTTTCTTGTTAATAAAAACTGAAATTGTTCATGTAATTTTCTTTTTTTATTTATATTCTGTAAATAATAATACTATTCAGGAAGAAAGATACAAAAAAAATAAATTGCCTTAATTTAATAATGTACATTCTTATATAACGTTCTAAAGATTATAAATTGAATAGTAACTTTTATCAACATTTTGTATACAACAATAATTCACTGAAGTAAAGAATTGATTATATATCACAGAGAAAGGGAGAAAAAGACAGAGGAGGGGAGGGGGGGGGGAAAGGAACTACGCTGCTATCTTTGCATTCCCGAGTAAGCTGTCCAAGTGAGTGACAATAAATAAATGATTTTCTCAACGACATTTCACGCGCGAGCGACTCACGCAATTAGAATTCGCTCCGGTCTTCGGTCTTGCAATTTATCGCTCCTGCAAACCGTACAAAAATGCCGGCGACCCAATTCTGAACTAAGGATTCCTACAAATCGTGACGCTATATATTCCTCATATCGATCCCTGGCAATACGCGGACCCGATAAATTTTCCGCGAGATCCGTTCTAATACGATCTGCGACGAGTTCACCGCAGTTTCATATATTCATATTACAAGACGAGATACTAACAGGCAAATGCGTACACGGTCGTCATATTAGCTTTTCTACCGCAGAGAAACTCGACAAATTAAACTAAATTCAAACGAATTTTCGAAACAAATATAAATTCACTAGAAAAATTTAACAAAATCTAATATAATAGATTTTAAAACTATAGAATATATATTTCGTACATCGACCATACTTTGTAATAAGCTTCAGCTAAAATTAATTAAAAATTAGCACATCCATTCATTGTGAAATCAATTTCCATAGAAAAAACTCTAGCATTTCAGAGAAAACGGTATTCCATAAAACAGTTTTTAGGATCATTTTATATGCCAATTTATATGTCAATCTGTACTTCTTATTAAGCAGCATACATTCTCGAGCAGTGTATTTGACGCCTGACCTATTTTGCGCGAAAAGCGAAGCCGGTGTGGCTGTATGGCCGCCATCAGTGGCCCGAGTCCTGAATAAATAAACCGTGTCAGGTGGTGGTGGGCCACCTTATCCTTCCTTTTATCTTGCCGTTCTTCCACACCGGCTCTATCTCGTAATTAATTTCGTGGATATATACAGCAGCCCGAGCTGGCCGGCCTTTAGAGACGGAAATTCTCGCGGGATCGTTTAAGACGCGCGATTCGTACCGAAAAATACTTTGAATGTAAATTCGGTGGCCCATTTGCAAATTGCTCGACGGTCCTTCTACAGCTTTTCGTTAATGCGCGTGGCTAATGGATTTGGATTAGGATACTGCCTAAAGTATTTTTGCACTATTATGCAGACTGTCTCAGAAATCGGGTATTTAAGTTGAAAATACTGGAAATTATTTAAAAAAAAAACGGGAAATTAATAATAAAATGTCTATGAACTTTAAATTTAAAAAAAGATATTATTATATAGTAAACAAAAATTTCTTTAAAATGATTACGTATTTTTCAGTTAATTTGGAATAAAATATACAATAGATTAAGCAAATTGCATCAATATAGAATTTTTTTTATAAAAATATAAGCTTATCTTAAAATATACAATTATCAAGAGGATACTTGTTGCTATTATAAAATAAGAAATTTAGTCCGAGAAATTTAACACTAAAGTAAACTTTAATCTAATTCTTGTATAATTACTGTTTTAAGTTTTACAAGGCAAACGGGCATGTTAAAATTTTCTCACTCTTATCTAAGGACACACAATTTATTCTTCTCCAACTTGTTGAGTTAATAATAAAAGTGTGTTAAATATCTAAATAACATCTTTTATGTAATTTTTTACTCTCCCTCTTTCGTATTCAAGCAATCATATCTCAAGCAACATATATTTGTAATAGTATATACAGTGATTCTATCCGCAATATATATTTATATATTGAATGAAATATTAATATAACATGAATCAGAATAAGTTAGAAACAGAGATCAATAAAAACATTTTGCAAAAATCCAATGCTGCACAGACTAGTTCGATGCAACAAGAAAAAAACAAAAATTTTCTGTCGTTACAAGTATCGAAATGAATGCTAAATTAGTGTCGTCGATATTCAATTTATATTCCTTGTCGTGCTCGAAATCCAAATTTTTCTTTCTTTTATAGTGGGCCAAAGCAGCTGAAATGCGGAAACGTGCTTCGATCTAACGATATTTAAATCGCAATGAAATATTAAAATTTACTTTTCACGTTTTCATGTCGCTACGGGCTGTTACGGTGATCGGTGCTGAGATCGATATTGTCTAACTGCCGGTATGTTCTTGCCTCGCAGCGGGAACTACAAGGGCCGTCTGGGCTTGCCGTACGTGGCCGGAAAGCCGTGCAGCATGTGCAAGGACCACTGCACGCAGGACGCGCTTTGCACGAACGCCTGCTATCATACCGATCTGTGGTCCAACTGCGCCGAACTGCTCAGCACGTTTGGTTCGTGGGTCTGCGAGACGGACACCAAGGAAGGTCGTGAACGCCGAAAGTTCTGCGGCGCCACATGCAATTGCAAGGACAAGATCTACTACCATCACGAAGGGTAGGAGGGCTTGACTTTGGGTCCACCTCCGTGTTGCATGAATAATTTAATCGCTCTGCAAAACTAAACTCAGACCTAGTGGGTGTTACGACGGCTAAACGGCAGCAGATCGTTTAATGGAGGGTCGTGTTGTTTTATTGATGAGCTCGTTTGTTTAATGATGAGAGCACTGGAGGAACACTCGCGATGTTATGAGCTAAGGCATCGAGAAAGGGAGAGGGTGGGAAAAGAGAAAGAGAGGACACACATAGAGAATGGATAGCGAATAAACGGGATAATATGGAAATATGGTAGATGAAGTGATTGTGGGATTTGTGTGCTATCTGAATCTCTGGGGGCCTAAATTTCGCGGATTCTAAGGATTGTCCAATATGATCTAATAGATCGATAGATTCTGTTCGGCAATTTAACAATTGCTGCACATAATCTTTCGATTCCAGAGATTCCAATATATTCTCGTTGTAATATAATCCTTGAATTTTAGAACTCTGAATTTTATAATTCTCGAATGTTCAGGATCCTTTGAAATTTCACAAATTGCCGGTGTAAAAAGTGTAAAACTCGCGTCTGCCTTTTATGATTTGCACAAAACTTCATTTCCTATGAAAAGATGTCAATCATAATTTAATGTGTTACAACAATATTTAATTTAACATTTAATTTCTTTGTGTATTCGTTTCTTCTAATAATATAAAAACAGTTCAAATAAAGAATCTTAAATAAATTAATTTTTCAGATGAATGTATCGTGATATTGATATCGAGAAAACATATTACATTTAATGTCTATATTTTACGTTGTTAGAGGTTGATATAATTTTCTAATTAATATGCACGCACACGTACGTTTGCAGGAGAACAAAGTTACAGGACTAGGTTTGAAAAGTTTTTATATATATAGTATACACTTAAAATTAGCTTTTTATCGGTGATTCTTTAATCTGCTTCAATCTGTACGTATCGAAAAAAAAGAATAAAGAGACCAACTTTATATTTTATATTCGTTTATAATTATTTTCACATTGCTTATGTTCTTATAAACTTGCATAAAGTAAAGTTTAAAACATAACATTTTATCAGTTTAATGTGGTTGCCTGCGTGAATCATATTTTTGGCTTTAAATATTTGTCATATTATAAAATATTCTATAATACATCAAGTTAATTAAATGGGTAAACGAGAAACTCATTTAAGCAGAAAACATAATAAGCTCATACGAACTTATTACATTTTGTAAATTTAATCGTGAATGTTTCGCATTTCTTCTATTTTTTATCTGAAAAATAACTTTTAAATAAAAAAAATTGTAAATAAATCCAGTGGGTAACATATCGAAACTGACAATTATTAGACGATAGACGTACTTCTAATTTTAGCTAACTTGTTAAGAAACAATGTAAAAATTAAACTAAGCTTTGAGGAGTGTCGATGTTTCTTGTCGTGATATAACGATGAAACTTCCCTTTATTAGCACAATTAACGATAATGATAACAGTTATTTTTATCTTAGATTTAACAACAGCGTGTTTACGTGCAGTGCGATGTTGATTGAAAGCAAGTCGGAATTGTAAAGTTAACTCTTTACCGCATAATTTCTCTTACAATTAAGAATATATTTCGGATGAGTATAACGCGGTGCGTTTAATCTAAAGATATAATATTCTCTTCTCATGAACGATTTACAAAGATACATATCGCGCGACAAAAGCGCATTATTATTATCTTCGTAATAATACGTTTATTATGTAAAACGAGAATTATCGGCCAGATCACGAATAAATAAAGATTTATAATAAACAAAAATGCAAAAAATTTTTATCGAGTAAAAGATAAATTTTTCTAAAAATAAAATATTGCCAATATTTTATATAAATGACATCTATTCGATTATTGTAAAAAGTAAGATATACTTGTAATATAGCGCATCGCACGGTTTGTAAGTGATTATAACGGTTAATGAAAAATCATTGTTGTTATTTTTATAGGAATTGAAAAATCGATATTGTGAAAGATATGCCATAATAATGCGGTAAAGAGTTAAGATAAATCGTAAATCATAAAACACATAATCAATGCGTTGAGAAACAACATATGTGACGAATGGCGAGCGTGATTGATGATAATGTTAGGTGTTTGATTATCGATAATTAAGAAGTTCGGTAAAGAGATATAACAGTGAATGTAACGGTACAGCTCCAAATAAAATGTTTAAACTGTAATACTTTTTGTCCACTTACAAAATAAATATCCTGTAAATATTACATTTTCCTGTGCATTTCATCATTTACTTAACCGTATTCAAATAGTAATCCACCAATAATTGTTTCATTAGCATTTGAATAATTTACAATTGTAATATTGAAATAATAAAATTTATCAATACGTAATAAACGCATAAGCAATCCTTGGCAACGTATAATATCATGAGTTGAGTGCCTCTTTAGTGCCTATAATAAATTAATATTACTGTTAAATTTTGACAAATCGTAGCTATACTCTCGTTTGGGAGAATGAACGCATGTCGGTCGATTATGGTGCGTTTAATCGGTCGTAATATTTATTTGTTACCAGGGAATCGAAGGATTAAACGGAATTATATGGCGAATAAATCGATACGAGCTTTAAGGGAGGGTGGAGAGAGAAGGAAATTATCCCCTAGGTCAAGAGAAATGTGCAGTCGGTGAATTCGAGTCAGCGGTGAACCGAATGCATACTCTCTTTTTGCTTCAAAGGGCTTAGGAATGCTTTTCAAACTGTGTCTGGGAACCGACAATAATGGTTCCGAACTTCGCCAGACTTTTAAATGAAGAGCACTGCATTGAGATTTTCTTATGTCAAATCAGTGTAACTATCGATTTTGATGTTAATCCTTTTGCTAAGCGTAAATATAAGAGTAAGTAATTTTATACGTTTCTCATTATTCTTTAGCACTTTGACTCTCGCATTTTAAATACGAGGAGCAAAATACTAAAAAAATTAAATATTCAGTTACAGCCTTAATATAACCAAAAATGATTTTATTTTTCTAAATATTTAATAAGTATTACCAAATAGTTAATTATATTATTATGTTTGTAATACTTATTAAATATTTAGGAAACTAAAATTATTTTTGATTATATTAACCAAACATTTAATTGAAATTACTTCATCAATATTTGATAGCTATTATCGAACTTTTTTTTAACTTTTTTTTGTGTGGCGTTGGATTCTAATTTAGATAATCTATTAGCTAAAAAAAGAATTAAATTAATTAACTAAATAAATAAGATCTTTAAATAAAGATATATGGACCCCCTCCCTCCCAGAGGGTATCAAAGAAAGTATTATTTTATGAATCCTTTTGTCAGTTGGGCCGGAATCGGCCGCTCAGAGCGATACAGCCATCAATTTCCAGTGTGGTATCAAAGGACGCGAGCGAAAATCGATTTTATCGTAACGGGCCCCGCCAAGTGGAATAATACTCGTTCGTCGCGAAATTGGGCCGATTTGTCCGTGGGCTGATGACTTCGGCAAAGGCCGAAAGGCCCGTGACACAGATTCCTTTGAACATACCCCGTCGGAAAGCCGGCAGAACCAAATGGCAATGCCATTCCGTTGCCGATAATGCCGCCACGCGCTTTCGTCAAAGATCGGCGATCGCATTGTCGTGAACGAGCAATTTCCTACCGTACGTCTTTCGAAGATTTCTACGAGGCAATTGAAATCGATTAGTCGGAGCGGAAGGTTCGTTCGCTGAATTTAATCTTTTTTGTAGTTCCTTGAATTCTAGGGTGTAAGATCTAGTGCCCGAGGAGATTAAGAGTACCGCGAATAGAAATAACGTAGGAAAATCTAAAAGAGCACGAGAAAAGAAGATTTATTTTACAAATTGCCTTCAAGTTCGTTGAATAATTTATCTTGCCAAGTATCTTGCATGCATAATTATTGTTTCGTTATATACATGTGTACCTGTATAACAACATCGAATATCAAATGTTTTTTTAATAAACATTTCACTAAACAAAGGAAGCTATTATATAAGACAAAAAGAAGTTATTAAAATTATTTATTGAAGTTATTTAACATGAAAAATTATATTATTGCAAATCTTAAATGTTTCATTACATAAATAGATTTTTGTTTTTCGATTAATTTAAAGCAGATTTTGCTTTAACGAGCTTTATTTAAGGTTTCATTATCAAAATATTTTGAAAACATTTAAAGCTCTGTTATGTAAAAATTAATAGTATTTTCCGAAACACAATGGATGATGGATAACAAAGAAAGAATTTCTAGGTGTGTAAATATAATTGTCAAACTCGCTATACAAGAACGTTGCAATTATTCAAAATCCTGGCAATGTATTAAACAATGCAATGCAATAGGCTTGTGTCACACGTGATTCAGTGTACGTAATTTACAATGACTGCTAAAGCAGGTGTAGTAGTGGGTTGATTTATGAACGTATTAACTATAGATATCCGGGGCACTATCATTAGTTGATTGATAGCCAATAATTAAACTGTAAAGTAGCAATTCTCAGTTCTAATTACTTAGAAATCTAACGGAATTTCTACGCTGATAGTGGTAGGTTAAATATTTTTAAAGTTCCACATCAAAAATTGATCTATGAGTAAAATTAAATTATGATATCGGTACTTATGGAAATTATTACTGATAGATACATTTTAATGTGATATAATATATCCGTAATATGTCGATAATTACTCTGATATGTCATTTCGTTAGAAAACGAAACAAATCTTGGCTATAAGCTATAAAATATATTTGATTTCTACTTATTACAACGAAACTAATAACAAATTGCACTTTGTTGAGTTTTAATAGCAAGAGAATATTCTATGCTTCATTAACAAATGAAGATAATATGTTTCACGATACAATATTTCCGATTCCACATTGCATAGCATCATTCAATTACTCAATGTTCAAATATTATACAAACCATATTTTCTTTATAATACGCGTTCTCGATGTTTACATACGCAAATGTTTATACCATTGTAAATAATTGATCGAAGTGGAGAACATGCAATTATTTGAAATTTCACGTAATTGCGCTTGGCGTGCCTCGATTTGTTATGTTAATTGAATTCCTTGAGAGAAACTGGAACATTAAATTTTATCGAATACTCGGGTATCTCGAGTATTAGATCGATAGCCCATACAAGCAATTTTGTTCTTATTTCTGACTGCCGTGGAGATGCATTTATCAGAAGCCTGTTTATCGGAAGAATAAA